CCACTATCCTGGCAACCAGTACCAGTCATACATATTCTGGGAGGGCTCACATCCAGTCTAGCTTTAGTACATCTTCCCCCCACTAGCTATTTCAAGTGGCGTGAGAACTTTGATAGGGCTATATCCCCCATGTTCTCCCCTTTAAGCCACCGCCGTATGCGCTAATTATTAGATACTGAACATCGTTTTATTACCTCGCGCTTAAGCAATGTGTACGAATGCTTGGTTAGGGGAGAAGCATGCGTTTCTGTTTCTCATTGACAACAGGATTTGGTTACTGAAAGCACATTTCCTATATCTGTGTGCGCCCGTGACAGTCGCTAGGACACTAGCCGACCATACACATTGTCCAGAGTACCATCCTCGGGCGACTCACGCCTGATATCAAAAAGTTGGCCTGCTACATACAATATCGGATGCTGAAAATTCCACACTTGTACCAAAATATTGTGTGGAATCAAGCTATGATACAATAAAATAAAAAACAAATAATGCTGCACTGGCTAACGTGTTACAAAATTGAACCAAAACTAAATAAACCAATAAAAAGACCAAAAGAGTACAGTCAAAAAGCTGATTACTGTTGACTATAATGAAATGGTTGTGTGGTGAATGAATCAGGCTCACCAATTTAGTATCCGGCTCTTCTGTCAAAATAGTTTCTAAAATTATTGGTAGAAAACGCATAATGTAGCAGATATCCTATCTGAATTTAATCAGTAGTCTTATTCAAGTGGTTTTGAATCGAATTCTTCCAATGTCACACTGTTGTGCTTAGTTTCAGATAAGCACAAGGCTTGTATTGACTGATATAATACCGTTTAGACGCTGAGGGTGTTGACGTTCAAGGATAGTGGGAAATATGCCAGCTCAAGATCTAATGTCCTCAACTTCTATAGCATGCGTTCCACATAGACTAAACGCAAAGCAAAACACCAGAATTCACCGTCCAAATTAGAATTATATTTCGGGACCAAATCGGAGTGCGAGATGATTGCTTGACTAGCTAGGGATCGTGCATGAACGAACGAACGTAAGACGATGGCGTGCCAAATGGCGTGGATGTTTGAACGAAAGCCTTCAGCTTGACAGTGAACGTAAGCATCCAAGTATCAGTGAAGAATATTATAGTTTACTAATTTTAGAGAATCATTTACCGCAGCAGTCTTGCAGTTACCCTATTTAGTCTGATTTGTATGCGGTGTAAAATTGTTGAAATATGAAAATGTTGAAAACTCAAATCTGTCGAAGAACATTTCACTTAGAAGAAGTTTTTGTTATTTAGTTGTTAGGTTAATTTGGATTTACCGTTGATTTAATTTCATGTTAGACCGAAATACACGTTTTCTGTGTTGACATATCGATGATGCCTTGAGGACCATAAGGATGCCATTTTGGTTTATGCTGACAGACATGACTTAAGTATTTGTAACAGGAACCAACATGTCGACAGAGAGACTATACATTACAGTCCAACACAATCAATCAACGGGGAATGCAAATTAATTTTTTTAATTGATATTCATTACAATAGAAATGGATATCTTGACTTTGGTGGCCTGTTGTATAGTACTTCGGCCTTTGAAACAATAGGTGAAGTGCGAATACTGTCAATCACAAAGGATTCAAATAAATCCGTCATACGAGTTCAGAATGAGATGAAATGTGCGCCATAGATTCAACTGCTTGTTACCACCAAAGAAAATTTATTATTATTATTATTGTATCCTTTAATTCCTAGAGGGATCGGGTTGCTAGCCTCATGCCCAACCTTCCCTCTTTACCAGTCTTATTACCTGCTTAGCGAAGTAAAGGAATGCGTCGTTGGCTGAGGAACGAACCGCGGACTACATGCGTGTTCGGGGAGCATTCTACCTCTGTGCCACCAACGCGTTGTAAACAATTATTATTGTTTCCTTTAATTCCTAGAGCAACATAGGGCTTCAGGCGTGCGTCTCCATTGCGTTCGGTTCTCTGCTAGAGTCTTTAACTGGCTCCATGTCTGCCCACACGTTTTCATCTCCTCTTCACATCACCTCCTCCAAGTCACCCTTGCACTGGCGACTAACATGTCGCCTCCCTTTCGGGTTCCACTCAAGCAATGGCTTGACTAGTGATGTCACTTGATGGTTTCCTCAGTGTATGGCCAGCCAATCCATCTCCATTTCTTCCTGCATATTTGTTTCACAATCGGTTCCTGTTTGGTTCGCTCCCAGAGATCTCTGTTATTGATCTTTTCTGGCCATCTGATCTTTAGTCGTATTGACAACTGTTAATGAAGGTCTGTAGTTTGTTTGAGATGCTCTTTATGCCGCACCGGCCAAGTCTCTGATCCGCATAGTAGCACTGACTGACTTCCCATTGGAGTTGAAAATCCGGATCTTATTTTTGATACTGAGTGCTGTTGACCTCCACACAGACTTGAGAGTAGTGAAAGCTTGTCTTGCTTTTCCGATTCTTGCTTTGATATCCTCGTCAGTTCCGTCCGCCTGTAGTTGAAACGATGCTTCCCAGGTAGGTAAAAGAGGTTGTTTTCTTCAGTTTCCTCCCATTTATGCTGATTGTTGTCAATTGTTGCTGTTGCTGTTGGTGTTTGTGTTGCCCAGGAATCTTCATTACCTCTGTTTTCTCTATGTTCACCTGAAGTCATATCTTTGATGCTTCTTCTATCACCAATTTGTTGCTTTTCGCTTGCATATCTTCCAGTTTGTGGAAAATCAGACAAATATCATCGGCGAAGTCCAGATCCTCCAAGTATTTTGTGTGAGTTAATTTTATGCCTGTCTCCTCATTGCCCGCTGTTTGTCGCATTATCCAGTCTACTGCAATCAGGAAAATCATTGGCGATAGTAGGCAGCCAGCTTGTCTTACTCCTGTCTTCACTTCGAAAGATTCCGTGAGCTTCCCGTTGTGGATTACTTGGCATGCAGCATTGCCGTACAGCTCTTGAATGAGATGTATAATTGTCAGTGGCACCCCGTAGTAGCGAAGTAGTTTCCAAATCACCTCTCGATCGGCGCTGTCAAAGGCCTTTTCAAAGTCGATGAAGTTGAGATAAAGAGGTGACTGCCACTCCAAGCTTTGTTCAATGATGATCCGTAATGTGGCGATTCGATCAATGCATGAATTGTTTCTCCTGAATCCAGCCTGTTCCGGTCGAAGTTTTTCATCCAGGTTGGCATGTTTGATTCTCTCCAGGATGATGCGGCTTAGTATTTTGCTTGGGATGGACAGGAGCACTACTACTAGGTACCTATCGGGCAAACGTTTGACACAAATTAAGCCGGTGAAAGATGACAACGGAAAGTAACTCAACAAAGAAGTGGAGCAAAGGAAACACTGGGCTGAACACTTCAAAAGACTCCTAAATCGACCACCACCTACAACGCGCCCAACAATACCAACAACGGAGACAGAGCTACCAGTGAACATCAACCCCCTGATGAAATCAGAAGTCCTGAAGGCAATCTAGATGCTGAAATCTGGAAAAGCAGCAGGACCAGATGGAATCCCAGCAGAAGCGTTGAAAATGGACCCAGAGACAACAGCGGACTTGATGACGCCACTACTGGAGAAGGTGTGGAAAGAGGGCTTTCGCGATGAATACAGGGCTAGCATATCTCATTGCGGAGAAGTGAAACCAAATTTCGATTAATTCGGGGCAACACATTCCTTATAGATAATATGAAGTTTTCGAATTCCTGATCAGCCTAATAATGAATTCACTGGAGATGAACACACTCCCAGCCACCGTCTAGACTTAATGCACACAGTGCCCGATCATGTGAGTTCCCGACTCGTCTATTTGCAGTTACACACTTTCCGGTACAGTGATCGTGTTTGTCTCTCAGACTGCTGGTGCATGAGTGTAAGATAAAAAGCCTTCGTCTTTTCAGGACAATGCAGTGACTATCATTACTCAGTTCAGTTGGCGCGTCGATGGTGACATCATCATGGTGACATAGTTCTCCTCATAAGACGACTCACTCACAGCATTACATCCATACATCACATTCCAGCCTACTCTTGCTTTGTACACACCAGTCACTGGAAAGCATCTCAACAGTCATTGTCGTCAATTCAAGAGAGCGAATCAGAGTGTAACAACCACTGTTCGCTAATCACATTGCAGGAAATATGAATGGCCAGTAGATTCAACACTCCATTCAAAGCCACTCAGATTCCCTCAACACAAGTCAGGTCAATGGTGAAACAGCGATTCATTCTCCAATCAAATCCTCATGAGTATCGCTGAGCAGAAATTTGTGTGTGTGTCAGCATCAGTCACTAGGTGACTTCATCGAATATCAACCAATGCATAATGAATTTATTTTGACTAAGGTCATGCGCTAACATCGTCATGATGGAAGCCTTCACGCAATTCATCAGTCGGAAGCTGAAACTTCAGAGAACATCAGTGTGATGTGAAACCAAGAGGATATTTGCACACTACTTCTCATTGATGTACACGATTGTGACCTACACGCCGAGAATACTGGGACACGAAAACAAAGTGCTGAATGTTGTTAATATAATTGAACATTTATTGTCGTATTTTACATTAAAGTGGATTTGTGAATAATCAGAATGAAAAGCATTCACAGAATGGGATAGGTGACGTCTTGAGCAAATCAATTCTCCCGTTTCTCCACATCATTCCTCATCTTCTTCTCAGATCATCCCACCTGTGAGTGTGGAAATGGAAAAGAAGAGAAAATGAAAGTGGACGGAATTCACGTCTGCTAAAAATGTTAAACAGACACTGCACATATCTACACATTTCTCACTCAAATGTGACTGAAATGTGTACAACTGATTGAAACTTGTGGAAATGTGAAATATCATATCCCATATGATTACTCTGATGGAGGCTTGGTTATTTGAGTGAAGGTTGAATGAGAAATCATTCACGACAAAGTAACTCATCAGATTATATCATTGCACAGCACAGAATAGCACAGAAAAGCATAACACGGCATAGCAAAGCATAGCATACCCACTTACATAGTGGCATCGGGGACACTTTGATGCAGGTGGCGGAAGTTGTCGACGAAGCTCCTGAAAAATTAGAAACACTCTATCAATACAAATCATTCTTCACATCAACATTGACGCCATTCACATTTCAAATTACATTACACAGCCGAATAAACACTCTCTCCATCACTCTACAAACGACACATCAAATTCTCTATATCTCCTATGCGAATCAGAATAGAGCCTATATTTCCTTCATTTGAATTCAACACCCCAATCCATACGGAACTTATAAGACACATCAACGAAATCTCTTCCGCTCCTCACTCCCTTCATTTCTACCTTCGTGAACCACTTCCTTATTTCTCTCCTCATATGAGCAAATGAAATCGTGCATCCATATACCCACGAGTGTGAACATACCACTCACTCTGCAAAATTCAGACACACTCAGCAATAGTTCACGTCGGGTCAAAGAATCACACAAATCATGACAAATATCACATATCACAGTTGTTTGTTATCTGGCCTTACTGAATCACTCGACTAGCCGAATTCCCACTCAATCAAATCTGTGCGATTTCCTCTAATCTCCTTGTTTCACCGATTGTATTATTGTATTTCCTTGTGTCTCCAAATGCACTCAGGCTCAATTTCAATCTCCTTCTTGACGGAAGCCTCAGCTGATGATGAAGAAGACGATGATGATGATGATGTTGATAGTGGTGATAATAGTGTAAGCGTATTTAACTCAAAGTCGTTGTGATTGTACATGTGGATGGAGAGACTAGTTTAAGGAATCATAAAACTCACCGCATCGGATAGACTTCTCAACTGAATTGAATAAGAAATAATTGAAGGCAATGAAGACAAGTTGAGAATTACTGAAAACGCAATATTCACTGTCACACGCGGACTCAATTCAACCGAACTGCTGTCTCTAATCGGCTAATAGCGAGAAACAAAGACTCTCTGTTCGTGCACATTCTCCATCTGACTAGCCATCACTCAACATCTTCACTGGTATTCATATTTCGTCGCCACAGAGATCAACGGAGAAGGCATTCTTTACTGCTCAGACGAGTGATGTGAACGACTTGATGTGAAGGCGTTTTCAGCTGTCACAAACACACACTTGTCACTTCTCACAGCCACTTCATAGAACACAGTTGGACAATTCCAGTCAGTAGATCATCTCCCACAACCGGTTATCATTCGCACTCACAAGGTCAGTTGAACACTCATGAAGGGTATTGAGTCGACAGTGGAAATTTTTCGAGGTGAAATGATTTCCACCACCGTGAATCACCTTCAGACACCTACTCTCGGCTCATCATTATCGGGGGTAATGTACCGATGTATTACACTGTCAAATGAAACTGGGTGTGATTCTGATTTCATCCAGCAGCATATAAGCCGTCAGGGAGTGAATCACTTTGGATTCGTCGAGAGACAAACATCACAAACGTGAAGGTTTCCAATGATTTCTAGTGTTGCAGAGTTCATATCTAGTCCGTCTTCATAAATATTGAATATTCTCTGAATACACACTGAATCTCAATGTCTGTTCTCAATGCAAACAACTTCGATTCATACACACCATCACACGCATCAACTTCGCTGGTAAATCAGAGGAATCTGATGATATAGATTTCTGCCAGTACACACAACAAGTATCACAGCTGAATGTTCGCTAAATTTAAAATTTTACTCATGAGAATTACTTATCAGGAATCGCTTCAAAGTAGAAAATCTGATAGGTGAGGCTGAATTCTCCAATTTCACATGAACGAATTCCGTCGGATTCTCCATCCACTGAATTAACATCCATCCATCCATGTGAATGCAATACACGTCAGTTTCCGGACAATCCAGATATCAGTGCAAATCACACCTCCATTTCGACTCTCGTCAGTGCTTAACTGGTTCAGCTGGTCGTTGAATCATTCAATGCTCGAAACAACACGCATTCGACAAACATGCAGGTGATGCAAATAACTAGTCGGTTGAATGAAGCAGCACAAATATCTGTTTGTTACTTACGCATGAACATTGAACCGTCGCATACCCCTGAGTATACGTGAAAGATCTATAGTGGGATTGCCACTGAGGTGCCTAGAGGGGAGCAGAGAACAGCAGAAAATAAACAGAGATGATGTTTGCATTTGTGAGTGAACTTTTCTCCTCAACTCACCTGCCTCTATGCATAGTCTGGATATCAGAATGCATTGCAAGGTGACCATGTGATGTGCCTGTGTGGATTCATTATCAAGAAATCATTTCGCATCACTGACATACTAGTTCGACACAGCATATACACATCTGATATCATCATCAGCAAGCAAACCGTCGTGCGAGTGACAGCGGATAATTGAGTGTCAGGTGAGTGGAACACTTCATTTCTACTGGAATGCAGTTTGCGAGTCGTTGAATCCACAGTGCGCAGATAAGCGGAATCAATACAATCACAGATTTTATTTTCAAGAGAAAAAGAGTTGGGGTAGATTGTTGGTTTAAGCAGCACACCCCTTCATTATCAAGCGTCTTCTGATACAATTTCTAACGTGCGATCATGACCAGTGTATTCAGAACGCATCAATGACTTCTATATATCTCGAAATTCATCTTTGCTCAATGAAACATAACACCGATGATAGCACGTCATCAACATTTCACTGCAGCTATCAATTACGCTCATGTAAACAAAGAAGGAGGAATTATTCCAGAATGTATATTTTGGATTCTCTCAGGTGTATGAGTCAGGGACACACAAGCACACCCTCGCACACACTCAGGGATCGGCGGAGAGCCTAGTGAATCTGACGGTGCGAGACACAACAACACGCTACATGGCTTTTACAAACAACCACTGAATACGTGTCTAACATCACCTGCGACACACATCAACATGAACAACTGACTTACCGGCATGTCTGCGCCAACTGAAAGCATTCAAAGAAACAGTGACCATTATCAAATAAGAGGAGAAGAGAGTGTGGAGTATATTGTACGTTCACAACGTACAACAAACATTTCGTGGTGGGAAATCAATTTGTGGAAATTGGAAGCACTTCGAATTCACTGGTGACAAGAGATGAAGCTGCACGTTCTCACAGCACCAAATCAACATCCATTTGTCTCCACCATAACGCTCGTGAACAGTGAGCATCTTGAACAGCCACACATTTGATGAGTTTGTGTCACGTGAACCTCAGAGCAGCACACACAATCCACATGGTATATTGATCATCTCCAACGTCTATGAAAATACATGAGATCTCCATGTGTGTGTGTGTGTCGGATAAGTGTCGACGCACTCGGAGTAATTTCGCGAATTCGCAGACTATTATGTCAACAAATGCCGCTCATTCTCCTGAAACAACGAATTCAATTTTTCCGTCATATCAAACACACATGTTTCCGACAAATCATTCCTATAATTATTCACAGTGATTCCTCAATGAACATGTTTGAATTTCGACCGCGTGAAGGCAAACGGAGCGCACTATAGTGCCGATTATGCATGAATGAGAAGATAACCAGTGAGACCCAACGTCCTCGTCAAATATACTCTTCTGAGAATCTCAGTCAATGACATTCCACACAAACAACTGCGGTAAAGCGAATCCATTGCAACAGTTACACAATATGAAATGAGAGTACAACCAACCTTGTATCACACATGCAGACACACATAGAGAAAAGAGACTGAATATTCGTGTGACTCGACATCAGACTGTCAGGCGAATGAAAATATATACCGTCGACTTACCTTGAATTCCACTTGTCGACAGGAGAACGAAACAGAGGAGTAATGACCAGGAAGCCATTGTATGAAGCACTGTATGAAGCAGAGTAATGCACGAGTTTGACATGAAGCTGACATGGATCTCCTTTTATACACTCGTAATCTGTGTCATCACAGTTCGTGTCTGTCTGTGTCTGTGACTGTCAATACTGATTGTCTGTCACAGAGTTGACCAGTCGTAATGTTAGTCAGTTTTCACCAATCAGTGTTCTTTCTGAAGTGTTGTGTTGTAACCAATGCAATGTGAGAGGAGCATCAATGCGTTCAATTCCAAATACTCTTCTTCACTCACTCACTCACTCACACACTCATTCTCTGATTGGCAGCGATTCAGCCTTCACGAAGTCAGTCAGCTAATCGCCTTAATGGAGACACACATCGACTGCCCCTTCCCTATTTATCAAGCCACCTTGCCCTGTTTCACTTCATTGAACCGTGTGTGCAATGACTCACTCACAATTCAGTCGACAGTTACTTGTCACCCTTCGGATCCATGTGTGTTTATTGGTGCGTGAGCAGCTGTTTGAGCAGTCAATTTGTCAGTGGGAAGGGCGCGATGACCAGAGACCTCTGAATACACGATAATCAGGGAGAAATGACAACTTGAAGACATGAGTGCATGAGTGCGTCACTCACACAGAACATCCGTTGAACATGTCGACATCATTTCACACGCATAGCAAGTGATCAGGCTGAATGGTGTCGAGATCGAACAGACCACCTGTACAGATGTCATCTCAGAAAAGGCATCATTCATTAACACGTTGTTACTATCAGTGTGGCTTGGAATCGCTTATCATGGCGTCGGTTGGGGCATCACACATATCTGAGAGCATGTGAAAATAAGGAATTCATACCCACGTAATGACTGAAAACACTCAGAAATCACACCATTTGTTGAGAGAGGGAATCATGCTGCTCTGCAACAGTCAATGTCTCAGCCACGTGATGGATTTTATCATCCTCAATTTACAATTTACACTTAGTGTGTGTCAACAGAAAGCGAGCATCTCCTCCTCACTGATAGTTTCAGGATTTCACTCTACAGCTAGACTGTGTTGTATATAAATTCGACTGTGTCGTTCACTCTAGTTGTTGTCTGAATATCTAGCTGTCTGATGTGTTGTCTTCTTTGCCTAAGACTTGAAAAAAATGTGTAGGCTGCCTAACAAGGTGTCAAGCTGCCTACAACAACCATCACCAAACGTCGCTCCTCCACGACACAATCAGATAATTGCCTGTCTGAAAATCGGTCGTGAAATGGTTCACAATTCGAATTTCAGAGGACAGCAGATTTCAAGTGGCAGCGTACAGTATATTTTTCTCGCTTTACTCAGGCTACACAGTTCACGTACGAATCACTCATAATTTCTCAATCGACACAGCATACTGGCGTGAATATTCTGCATTCCAACTATTCAGAACAAACACACACACAGACGAGCATTTCCAGCCATCAGGAAAATTCAAATGATTATTCTATTCCAACAGTTACACGTCGAACAGATCATTCGTTGTCCATTTTAGAATAACACCACATTTCACGAAATAAGTAGTGACTCCAAGCAGCTGGTAGGTCCATTCAAATTGACAGCCTCAATCATGCTATTCTTCTACAGGCTGATTAATGTCCGCTGGCTTTCACAATTACATAACTGGAATTGACTTACTCCAATGTGGACACCAGAAATTCAAAGCATGTGAATTGCAGAATACATGCTTATTGTCCTCTAACATTCAGTAGAGTTTCACTGAACATCAAACAGAAAATATCGTCTGCGAAACATCAGATTGCGACTGCCTGGGTAGAAAAACTCAAACGAACACATATACAACTCATAATCACGATATGGTTCACTCTGAACTGACTACCATATGTGCATCATCTGGCACAACAATAAGGCTCTTCCAGTGGATAATGCACTCAAGTCAAATGAAATGACACTCGGAATCTACGCTGATTCATGCAAGCGATTATCATCCATCGCATCTAGTGATGAATGGACAAGCTGTCATCTGCATCGTCTACAACATCGATTATCTCACTGTCACCAATTCATATGTTCATCAATAATCAAGGAGAATGAAATCTCCTGAGAGGTCCCACGATCATGAAACACAAGATTTTCATCAAACCACGTGAATACTCACTTACAATATATTTTCAAAGACTAACAAATGATTTCCACTCAGATAATCGACAATGAGTAAATCAACTCCCAGTGAGCCTCGACTAATCACAAGAAATCACTTCTACTTCCGTTCTCTTAATTTCAATATTATTAGAATCCAATAATTACACAAACCAGCCTACGCTTTCTCAGTCGACCTCATCGGAATCATCTAATCAGACAGATATAGGTCATTCTCATTGTCTGTGTACCAAAACAAACGATGTATGGATCTCTAATGTTTAACTGTCGATAAGGCTCACATCATTACGCTTCACATTCTTCCGACTTAATTGCACAAGTGGTTCTACACAAATGCGATCAGTAGCACAATTGATTACTGAGAGGAATGAGAGTAGAGATAAATCTGCTTGTAATTGAATTGAACAATTATGTCGGAAGAATGTGAATTGTAATTATGTGAGAATTATCGCAATTAAACATCAGAGATCTATATATCGTTTGTTTTGTTACACAGATAATGAGAATGACCTATTTCTGTCTGATTAGGTGATTCCGACGAGGTTGACTGATAAAGCGTGGGCTGGTTGGCGTAACTATTAGATTCTGATGATATTGAAATTAACAGAACATATTTGGAAATGATTTCATGCAATTAGGTGAGGCTCACTGGGAGTTGATTTACCCATTGTTGATGGATGACAATATTCGCTTGTATGAATGAATCAGCGTATATTTCTGTATATTTTTGTTATTTCGTGTTTGTCACACTGAATGGGTTGTTCAGAAATTCAGGCCCTCATCTTCTTGCGTCAAATGTGAGTTTTGTCACATGATTTATACCATGTCACCACTGGACTAACTCCCAACCTATCGATTTCTATTTCCCTTATGCTCAATGACAGTTAATTGTCTCGTTTTTTGAATATTTATTCGACAACAGTTTGTTATCTGGTTGAATACATGCAAGAATTCCTAGTTGCTTATACTTTCTGGTTATCTGATCTTTCAAGACACCTCAAATCTGATCAGATTATCGCAAAGTCGGTATATGATTCTTCATGTCGATGCTTCATTTTAGATTTATCTCTGAAACTTATTTATTGTAGACTTTGTGTAAGGAGGATTCTTCAGAAATGCACTGTAAGCCAGCTTTTAATTCGTAATCTAAAAAACCAGTTCAGGATGATAACATTTTTTATTCCATGTATGTCTTATTGAATGCTTCAGGACTGGAGAATTTCTTAAGTGAGAAATGCTTGTGTTGAAATTTTAGCAGAATATTGTTCTCTTTTATTCGTTGGATATTCGTCGGACTAACAGCAGGATTTAATCAGTGTCCTTTTGTCCTACTTGCGACTCATCGTCTAGATTTACCTGAATCCTAGTGAGGATTGGCATCCCCACTGCAACTCGAGATGCTTATCGATTGTTCTAAATGTTGAGTGTTATCCACTAGGTTAGTAAGTCATAATATTGACTCCTTTGAATCGTAAATGTGGTGAGTGTTCATTCCGGAATCCATTCGGCTCCATATACTGTCTAACAAGTGAAATAAAATTAACCACCAACATTTTGATTGATTACCAATACTTGAATATCGATGAGATGCTCGCTGGCTACTGGCCCGTTTCAGGTATGTAGCTACCTGGGTTCTAGTGTGAAGTCGTGACCAGTAGGGTGCAGCAGGTCGGATGTGAGGACAAATACTCGCCAGAGAAGACATTGGCTAGCGGTTGTGCTATGTCGTGAATTGGCAGAAGTTAGAATTCATGGGCTGGTCATTGGATCGGGTCCCAGCGGCCTAATGATCTATAAGCTCACTAGCCTTGTAGCCAGAAGGTCCTGGTTTCGAACCCTGCCAGCGGGTGCGTACTGATGAGGAATCCTTAACTAGGCTGACGAAACAGCTCTCAGGTTTTCCAATGGTTCTCTAACCAATTTCAGCTCACAATGAAATCCAGTACGCAACCAATGAAATCCCTACAAAC